TTCATTGAGCACTGTCGGGTTTTGAGACGCTGAGCCCCACATCTCTTTGGTTGAGATGAAATATGACAAGTTACAATGTTTCCCCAGTGAGGGACGCAAGTTACAGGCATGACTAGCCCAGCAAAGCCCAGCACAAACGCGCATGGGCCTGCCTTGGGCTTGAGTCATGCCAAAATACAGCCCAGAAGAAGCCCGGCCATGAATGGCACGGACCTGATCATCGGACTGGCGGAGCCAAACAGCAAGTGAAAGTAGCAGCCCCCCAAACTCAAGCGGTCGTCTTGTTTTGCTTCAAAAACCACATCGCTGCCTGTTCTCAGCTGGCTCAGATGATCAGCTCTTCGACTTCATCGGTTTTTTGGCCGCAGTCTTCATCCCCTTCGCCTTGTTGGTCTTCTTAGTAGGCTTGGTCGTTGGTGATGGCTTGCACCCCTTGAGCTTCTGCTTGGCCTTCACCGTGGACTGGTTTGCAGCCGGCTTCTTCTTAGCAGGCAATGCTTCCTCGTCATCCTTTGCCCTCTCCCACTTTTCCGCCTCAGGCCCTGCGACAAAGCCCATGTGCGCAATTTTGTTAGGACTCCACGCCAGATTCTCATTCCAGGACATGGCTCAGCAACAAGCTTGAGGCAGAGTGGCTGTCAACCACTTGACACTTGAAGTCTGGGAAAAGGCTGAGCGGCGAAGCATGGGTTGAAGTTGTCTGAACAAAAATCGAATCTTAATTAGTCATGCTAACTTAGTATGCTCAGGCTCTTATTATTATTACATATAAATTAATACAACATTATAAAAAAAAACAAGTTCGAAAAAAACAAACCGCAACCACCGCAACCGCTATACAGCAGCAAGAAGCGCCCAAGGTCGCATTGAATCTTGGCGCATGAGGCCAACTACCCTGAGGAGCTCGACTACTATGAGATCGCTCGTGCCAAGGGTACTGGTCGACTTCAAGCCTGGGATGATGAAGATGATGAAGGGAAGTTTGAGGGGCTTCCCAGCCTCGAGGTCGAGAGAAGGCCCAGAGGGAGAAGGCTGAAAAGCCAAAAGGAAAAGAGCCCAAGATTGAAGAGCTCTCCACCACCGAACTGGCGGAGTTGAAGCGGGAAAGCCAAGTCTGGACAGCTACATGCCATCCTGCCCGCAACGTCATTGAGAAGGCACTCACTGCTGCAGGGTTCAACCCAGAAGACTATGTGGTGATGAAGCGCAGTGATCACCAAGGTGAAGGAGCAACCAGTGCACCATCCTTCACAGCACCAGTCATGGAGACCATCAATCCCCTTGATGTGACTGAGATTGAGGGACTTGACGGTGCAGAGTTTGAAGATGAAGTTGAGGAAGATGAGAATGGCACTGAGCCAGCTGAAGAGGAAGATGATGATGAGCAAGAAGAGGAAAAGGCACCAGAAGAAGACGATCCCGTGCCATGGCTCGACCACAACCAAACAACCAAGAGCACATCCTCAGCTATGATGAATGGGTGGCAAAAAGCACCCACAAGGCCAAGGACGGCTGCAAGTTCATGGTTTGCCACGCTTGCAACAAGGCATTGAAGTGCGACAACGATACAGATACAGGGTTATGGAACCACCATATGGCCCTGAATTGTTGCCCACCAAAGGTTCTTGGTCAATGGGCTAAGGAATGGGCCCTCAAGCAAAAGAGAATCAAGACTGCGAAGGGACAGCGAGGTAGACCAACCTCGCAAAACGCCCCAAAGCACGTGAAAGACGCCGAGATGGCTTTGAAGCGTGAAGAGATGGCGCAATGAAGGAGGCCGAGTGGGAAAGCGTGAAGAAAGAGCCCCCTTTCTACATGATTGCCCACATGCAGAAGATGATGGCCGAACAGGAAGAAGAAGACGACATCGGCCCAAAGACGCCAAAGCAAAGGCGCATTGCCAAGACACCTCCACCTCCTGAGAAGAAAGGCAAGACTAAGGAGGAGCGCATGGCCTGGTTCAAGAGCTCAACGGAAGAGCACATGGAACGATTCCGCGGCAGGTGCTCAGGCTGAAGTCCTGGTCTCGTTCTCCGGGCAAGAGCCGAACCGCTTCGGTTCCGGCTGCCTCCGAGAAAGGCCAAGAGAAAGGCAAGCAAAAGCAGCCAAGAAGGTACAGCTGACTCGAGCTGTCAATGTGGCAACAAAGATGCCGCTCGTGACACCGACAACGAGCCAAGTGAAGTGAAGGAGATCCACTGGCTCTCAAGAGTTTGGAGCTGGCATCAATTGAGACGCCCATGGCTCATCAGGTGACTTTGGATTCACGAGCAGCCACCTCCTGTATCCCAGTCGAACTCGCCGCCGCATTGGGCTACAAGCCCGTTTTGCCTGAATGCGCCAGTTCGAAGATCTACAAGACAGCATCGGGCGAGACAGCAAAAGATCTTGGCAAGATCAATGCCAAGGTGACGATTGGTTTGGCAGTGGAGCCCTGACGGGACAGTGCAGCTTTCGAGCGATGGCAGTCTCAAAGCCATTACTTTCTGCGGGGGCCCTCGCCGACAAGGGTTGGCCCATCCAAACAACAAGACTCGAGGGAGGACACATTGCTCGAGATGGGGAGAAAATCGCAATTTCCTTTTGCGACGGAGTTTACGCCGTGCCGATCGTGTTCCACCATTTCACCCGGCACCGATGTGGGTAAGTCCGGTCATGGACGACGAGGCCCCGGCAGAAATTGAACCCGCTGAGGCCGAGCCAGGTGATGAACTTCCACCTGGACTCAAGATCAACGCTCCAGTTCGCCCAACGCGAAAAGAGCTCGAGGAACACTCAGTTTCACATTTTCCTTTTCGTTCGCGGTGTGAGGCCTGCGTTAGCACACAAGCGGGTGGATCATTCTGACGAAACCACACCAGTAGTAACTGTAGATTACTGTTTCATGAAATCACGAACTGATGACGTAGTCATGGATGAGAAGACACATGCCCCAATCCTAGTTGTCAGAGATCGATGGACGAAACATCTTTTTTGCCCACGTGTTACCCTACAAGGGTGTGACCAAAGGACCATATGGATCCAAGGTACTCCTGAATGAGATCAAGAAACTATACGGTATTCCAATCTGATCATTCGACATGACCCTGAACCTGCTCTCACATCCGTCATTGAGGCAGCAAAGAACGGGTTTGAAGGAACCTTGATCATCGAGAAGAGCAAACCTTGGAAGGACAGGCAAGGACTCTTCGAGATGCAATCGAGTCGAGTTATGGTGAAAAGCTTCCAGACGATTCACCTATTTTGACATGGTTGGTTGAACATGCGTCCACGGTCTACAACCTGTTTTTCCGATCGACCGAACTCCAAGACGGAAAGACGTCGTACTCAAGACTTCGTGGACGAGAATGGAAGGTAGCCATCCCACCTTTCGGTGAGGCCATCGAATACTTCAAGAGAGGTCACAGTTTGAGGCCCAATGGACTAAGGGTAATTTTTCTAGGAGTGAAAGACGGCACCACAGAGAAAATAGTAGGCACAGCCACTGGAGTTTACACAGCGCAGTCAATCCGAAGAAAGCCCGAAGAAGATCGATATGACTCAGCGTTGCTGAAGTCGATCACTGTGATCCAAAAGCCAGTCAACAGATCAGAGTGTTGAACCGCATCATCACTTGGTCAAACGAAGGCAGTTGGTGGGAACCAGATCCAAGACATGCAGAATTGATCATCCAGTGGTTAGGCACTGGTCAACCAGGCAAGGTCAAGACACCATTGGCCAAGCCAAGTCAACAGGAACTACAACACGAAGAAGTTCCGTTGAGCGCCGAAGATGCAATGATGTATAGATCTATTGCTATGAGAGCCGCATATTTGGCACAAGATCGACCTGATCTGCAAACTGCAACGCGCTCGCTCACACAAGGTCTACAGAATCCAACATCGAGGCACTGGAACATGCTGAAACGATTGGCAAGATATGTCAGATATCGACCAAGAGTTGCACGGCTATTTCCAAATCAGAGCACCTGCAACCATTTCAATATGTGGTCAGACGCCGACCATGCAGGATGCATAAGGACACGAAAGAGTGTGTCAGGAGGCGTGCTCATGGCCAACAAACGCTGTCTCACTACCTACAGCAAAGGCCAAGGAGTTGTCTCCCTTAGCAGTGGTGAATCCGAGTATTATGGACTTGTTTCTGGAGCATGTCACATGCCTGGAATCGCATCAACTGCCAAAGACTGGGGATTGTCTCCCAGCAAAGAGGTGACAATGGACGCTTCCGCTGGCATTGCCATGGGAAACCGTCGAGGTTTGGGACGAGCCAAACATGTTGACACTCAGTACCATTGGGTACAAGAGCATACAGCAAAGAAAGAGTTTCGTCTCAAGAAAGAAGGCACCGACCGAATGTTGGCCGACGTGCTAACGAAAGCTGTCACCGAAGAAAAGATGAACGTTGCAATGAGAGGCATGAACTTCCACTACCTGCAAAGTGAGCATGAACTAACACAGAGAGCTTGAACGGCTTGAGCTAGAGTAGGTACTTCTTCAAGACCAAGATGTACTGAAGGGCTACGAGCTAATTCACTCATGTGCTAATCCTGATTCGTTTAACGTCTCTCAGAAGTTAAACTCAGGAGGCGTGATCAGATGTAGCACCAGTATAGTTCCGTTTTGGGTTTACTTGCTTACTTCAAGCGTGAGCTAAAAGTGTGCCTATCACCTTTGGGACTGTGACTTGGGGTCACTACGTTTGTGAGCCTAAATTCTCCGTTCATGCTTCTTGCTGAAGCTGGTTCCCATTGCTCACTGTATAATACACGATGAGGAAACCAGAGGTAAGTTTGGTCAATCCAAATGAACGAAACCAGACAAAAATGAAACAAATAAATATATATATATAGGAATGAACAGTAAATTGGGTAATAAATGATAAGTATACATGAATGCGTATGTAATGCGTGTCTTTTGTTTGCTCTTAGGTTGGAGGCCATCTACAAGTCTTTAATGCTTAATGTACGTGATGGAAGCTTTTCAGATGCGACCGTCTTCCAGGTGAATGCCCTGGACCGGCATAGCGACACCCCGCTGTCATGGGCTGCCCGAAGCGGTCACCTGGATGCGGTGCCTTGGAGTGCATTCCAATCGACGTGACAAATCGATTCGCAAGAAGTGAGAAACGTAAGTAGAGACGGTTCATGTTTTTTCAAACTTAGATTTGTTGTGAGACGTTTGATATGTTAATTACTGTTTTTGCTCAATTAGTTTATTCCTTTTTCCCGAATGCGTAGCGAAGGGTTCTCGTTTAACTCTTGGGGGTCTGGGGGTAGAGTCTTGTTCGCGATCCGTTGCTTCTATGTTCGCAACCGTCCGCAACCGTCCGCAACCGTCCGCAACCGTCCACAACCGTCCACAACCGTCCGCAACCGTCCGCAACCGTCCGCAACCGTCCGCAACCGT